GCCGAGCCATGCTGTGGTGGCGTCCCATATAAAGCAGAGGAAGATGGGCACAGATGTTAGCTCAGGGCCAGTCTTCCTCAGAAAAAAGAGGAGGATTGGCATCAGATGTTAGCTCAGGGCTGGTCTTCCTCACAAAAAAAAAAAAAAATAGAGCCTTTTATTTACTTACTGTTGACATCCTTTGTAGGTTTTATTAATGTGCAGGTAGTCTTTGTATATTCTAGATATCAGTCCCAGTTTTAGACATTATCAATGTCTTCTTCCAGTCTTCACCTACCTCTTAACTTTGTCCATGGTGTTCTTCCTTGGATAGAAGACCTTAATTTTGATCTTGTGAAACAAAATTAAGGATATTAAACCTTCTGGCTTGTGCTTTTCTGATCTTAAGAAGTCTTTCTCTACCCCTAGGTCACAAATATTCTTCTGTATTTTCTATAGTATTTTACTTTGATCCTGCATATCAAAGTCCATTGTACCTTGAACTTACATATGGCGGGAGATAGGAAGGCAGCTCAGTTTTTCTACATATCTAAGTCAATTTTCAGCGAACTATCTTATGAATCAGGAGTTGGCAAGCCTTCTCTGTAAAGGGCCAGATAGTAAGTATTTTGGGCTTTGGAGGCTGTGCTCTCTCTGTTGCAACTACTTGACTCCACCATTGTAGTGTGAAGGCAGTTGCAGACAATATGTAAACAAAAACAAGTGATTGTGTTACATGTCATGAAATATTATTCATACTTTAATTTTTATTAATAGACTTTATTTTTTAGAGCAATTTTAGGTTCACAGCAAAATTGAGCAGAAAGTACAGCGAGTTCCCATATCCTCCCTGCCCCACACATACACAGCCTCCCCTAATATCACCATCCCACACGAGAGTGGTAACATTTGTTCCAGTTGCTGAACCTACATTGTCACATCATCACCCAAAGTCTGTACTTTACATTAGGGTTCACTCCTAATGGGTTGCTGTGCAGTCTATGGGTTTTGACAAATGTATAATGATGTGTATCTACCATTATAGTATCATATAAAATAGTTTCACTACCTGCTATAGACTGAATGTTTGTGTTCTCCCCAAATTCATATGTTAAATCCTTATGCCAATGTGATGGTATTTGGAAGTGGAACCTTTGGGAGATGATTAGGTCACAATGGTTGAGCCCTCATGAATGGGATTAGTGTCCTCTCTCATAGAAGAGGTCCCAGAGAGCTCCCTTGCCCCCGTCACCATGTGAGAACACAGCAAAAAGACAGCTGTCTATGAACCTGAAAGCAGGCTCTCACCAGTCACCAAACTGCTGGCGCCTCCACAACTGTAAGAAATAAATTTCTGTTGTTTATAAGCCACCTAGTTTATGGTATTCTGTTATAGCAGCCCAAAAGGATTAAGACACTGCACTAATAATGCTCTGTGCTCTGCCTATTCATTCTTCCCCTCCCCCACCCCCTCACAACCACTGATCATTTTACTGTCTCCATAGTTTTGCCTTTTCCAGAATGTCATGTAGTTGAAATCACACAGTGTGTAGCCTTTTCAGATTGGCTTCTTTCACTTAATAATATGCATTTAAGTTTCCTCCATGTCTCTTCATGACTTGATAGCTCATTTCTTTTTAGTGCTAAATAATATTTTATTATCTGAATGTACCACAGTTTATTTATCCATTCACCTACTGAAGGACATCTTGGTTGCTTCCAAATTTTGGCAATTATGAATAAAGCTGCTATACATATCCGTGTGCAGGTCTTTGTGTGGACATAAGTTTTCAACTGATCTGGGTGAATACCAAGGAGCACAATTGCTAGATTATATGGTAAGACTATGTTTAGCTTTGTAAGAAACTGCCAAACTCTCTTCTAAAGTGGCTCTACCCTTTTGCATTCCCACCAGAAACAAATGCGAGTTCCTGTTGCTCCACATCCTCAGCAGCATTTGGTGTTGTCAGCGTTTTGGATTTGGGCCATTCTCCTAGGTGTGTAGTGGTATCTCATTGTTGTTTTAATTTGCAATTCTTTAATGATGTATGGTGTTGAACACCCTTTCATATGCTTAGTTGCCATCTGTATATCTTCTTTAGTGAGGTGTCTATTGAAGTCTTTGGCCTATATTTTAATCAGGTTGTTTGTTTTCTTATTGTTGACTTTGAAGAGTTCTTTGTATATTTTGTATAACAGTCCTTATCAGATTTGTCTTTTGCAAATATTTTCTTCCAGTCTGTGGCTTGTCTTCTCATTCTCGTGATGGTGTCTTTTGCAGAGCAGAAGTTCTTACTTTAATAAAGTCTAACTTAACAACTTTGTCTTTCATGGATTGTACATTTGGTGTTGTATCTAAAAAGTTGTCACCAAACCCAAGGTCATCTAGATTTTCTCCTATGTTATCTTCTAGGAGTTTTATAGTTTTTCATTTTATGCATATATTTATGACACATTTTGAGTTACTTTTTGTGACAGGTGTAAGGTCTATGTCTAGATTCTCTTTTTTTTCATGAAGATATCCAGTTGTTCCAGCATCATTTGTTGAAAAGACTATCTTTGCTTTATTGTACTGCCTTTGCTCCTTTGTCAAAGATCAGTTGACTATATTTGTGTGGGTCTAATTCTGGGTTCTCTATTCTATTCCATTTATCTGTTTAACTACTCTTTCACTTTCTTGATTACTGTAGCTTTATAGTAAGTCTTAATGTTGGGTAGTGTCAGTTTTTCAACTTTGTTCTTCTTCAATATTGTCTTGGCTATTCTGGGTCTTTTGCCTCTCCATATAAACTTTAGAATCAGTTTGTCAATATTCACAAAAGATAAGACCGGGATTTTGATTGCGATTGTGTTGAATCTATAAATCAAGTTGGGAAGAACTGATATCTTGACAATATTGAGTCTTCTTAGCCATGAACATGGAATATTTCTCTAATTACTTAGTTCTTCTTTTATTTCTTTCATAAGAGTTTTGTAGTTTTCCTCACATATATCTTGTGATGTGAATTTTAGAATTCAGTTTTTGAGTTTCAACAAAAGCACGTGGAATTTATGTTACTGTTACATTGAATTTATAGATTAATTTGAAGAGAATTGAATCTTTTGTGAGCTAAGTTGCCCCCATTTGTGAATTGTTATCTCTGCAATCATGTGGATCTTCTTTTATGTCCTGTAATGGAGTTTTTTGAAATTTTCTCTGGGAAGGCCTTGTACTTTCTAGTTTAGGATAATTGCTGGATAATTTATAATTTTTGTTTCTATTGTGAATTATTTCTCTTATATTTTCTAGATGATTAATAGTGGAGAGGAAGCTTAGAGAGTTGTTAAATTGATCTTACATCCAACAACCTTGCCAAATCCTCTAATTAGTTTTGAGAATTTGTTACTTCTATTAAGTTTTCTATGTAGATCATCATATCATCAAATAATGAGAATTTTATCTTTTTTCTTCTAATCCATCACCTATTTGCATGTATTAATTTAATTTGAAAGTGGTGTTCTGGGACAAAAAGATTAAAACTCAATATGTATTAGATATTTCAAAGCTTTATTAAAGTGATAAAAGAAAATGCCATCCGAATTGTGTAAATAAAATATGGCATCAGCAAAATCAAAGTTTACCTAAAAATGATTGTAATAGACAACACAAATTCTAAAATATCTATTTTGATGTCTATAAACCCCCTTACTTGGAGGTTTCTCTCTTGACTAATATGATCAAAATATAGAAGGCAAGTCTGAATTTTGAACCTTCTGGATAGTTCCTTATTTTTAGCCCCAACAGAGGATGTATCTGTTTCTGGTCCAGCTCTGGGCCATGCAGCCACCACAAATCACTCGCATCAGACTCACCTTGTGTGCCTCCTAAAAATGCAGATTCCTGGACTCCCCCTAAGACTTGACAAGTAAGAAATCTCTGCTGGTATTATCTGGACATCCACAGTTGTAACAAGGTCCGCCAGGGATTCTTCTGTCCACAAGCTTGAGAATCATTATGGTGGGGGGAGAAGGCAGAGAACCTGACCTCCAGACAAACGGGCATCACCAACAGAAGTCCACCCCAATCTCCTTTTTGCTCCCCAAGTCTAGAAGCCTGGGAGGAAAAATGACTTTCATTTTCTATTCCTTCTTACAACAACTTTGACATTCTGTGTAGTACATATATACATATAAGGGGAACACTGAAATGACTGGCCCATAATTTATCTGCCTACCCGGATCAAGCCATTGTACTGGTTTGAGGACAGTTCAAAAGGTTAGTGCTATTTCTTTCAGGAAATAGTAGAGATATTCTCTCATGGGCATCATTACTAAAAAGTAGGAGGCCTTGGAATTTTTCAGGGACTGAAAGAAAGAAAGAAAACTTGGAGAATCAGGAGAGAGACGTGAAGGTGCCAAGTCACTAGCTTTTATTCTACAGGAGGAATGTAATGACTTCAGGGCAAAGCAAAACCCCAGGCCCAACACTGGGTCAGTGGTTTCATATTTCCATTAAAGTATTATTGCTAATCCAAAAATCTCACAGAGAGGAAAGAAAAAAGTATTGGCTAATAAACATGATTTCAAAATTCACATTGCATTCTAGTAAATTCTAGAAATCATTATGATACAAATATTAGAACCAAGCCAAAAAAAAAAAGAAAAACTCACTTCGAGGTTTAGATTTTTTATTTTTTAAAAGCCACAACAAATACTACAAAAATAGCTTATACTTGTAAAAGCTCACATTTCAACACCTGGAGTCATTATTATGATCATTATTATGTTAAGTAATAAAATTTCAGTATCTCAAGGCTATCTTTATTTAGCTCTTAAAACAAAATAAAAAATTAACAAATCAGTTTCCTTCAATAAAACGGAGTTTGCTTTGAGAAAACCTTGATTGCACATCATCAAATTCATTTCTATTTGAATAAACAGTACACGAAACAAAGGTTCATGCCGTGACAATCCCTGAAACCTCCAATCCGCAATCTGCAAGGAGTGGAGACTTCGTTTTTGTGTCTTTTTAAGGCATACGTTTCCCACTTGTTTTTAAATTTTGAGCATAATTGTTTTCCAAAACATTTTTAATGTGAATTATAGAACCTCTCCCTATGAAACCACAGCTCCTGACCCCAAAACTCTACTGTTTTCTGTGAGACTAAATATGCCTACAGTAGACCCAGTACATCAGATTTCACAAAGCCATGCAAATACTAATAAAATTATCATTGTAGGATTGAATATACATTTGGTATGTGCTTTAATTTTCATATATGTATAGGATACTCTTTAAATTTTGTACTTTAACACTGAAGGAGGAAAGAAAACTTACATACGAATACTAAAAAACCTGATCCTTTCCAGAATCAAAAGCAACATGAAATAACAGTTGTCCTTCAGAACCAAATATTGGATTGTTAGCTGGTGGATGGTTGCTTCTTTCTTATTCTGCCCTTTAAGAGAAGATTTTAAAACGCAATGATTCCTGGATATACAGCAACCATCCCCTCCTTCTCCAGGATGGACCCCTGAGAGTGGTCCAGGCATGGTCAGTGAGTTGTCCAAAGTCACTGTCAGACCAGGGATTGTTTCCCACTGATGACACAATCAGCACAGTCAGAAGAGCCAGAAGCAAGAGTGTAAGAGCAAGAGTAAAGGGGGGCAGAGAGAACATTCTAAAGCTATGGCAAAATAAACAAGCAAGAACAAGAACCCAACAGCTTCCCTCATCAAAGATAAACATAAAGCGGCAAAGACGTTAAATATTGCTTTTAAAAATATAAATATAGTTATTGATGAGTTATCACTATCAATTTGCTCAAAATAATAGTCTTTGAACATGCTACATGTGATCTTAAAATATCCATATAGTCTCCCAACTCAGCTCACATGATGTTTTCCTCTAGAGCACAGGTCAGGCTGATAGCTACTTTTTACAACAGCAGAATACAGATACTGGAGGGTCACCTTCTAATCTGTATTTTCCAGAATTGGGTAGATCCTTGCACTCTGATAGAAATGTACCAAGTTCAGTCGCTGGGAAGCCAACTTGTTGGTAATGCTATACAGAAGAATAAAAAAAAAAAAGCTCTAATTAATAAACTCCTTGAAAACAGCTCTATTCCAAATTCAAAATAGATCATTTGGTAAGGGAAGGGATCTTTCTAGAGGGATAGATTCCAAGTATTTTCAAAACATGTAGCCGCTAGAGCCACTCTTAGGTTTGGCTAAGGTAAAGTGGGTCTGGGATTGTGCAGCACACTCCTGGGCTCTCTTTTGTGGGTCTGGTTCAACCCAAAATGGGCATGTGGAATCTGAGTCTGAGCTCTTCTTCCAGGGAGAATCCAGCCAGCCATGTCCCAAGTCTGAGAACCTCTGTCACCACTTTGCCCTGCAGCGCATGACTTCCAGGCCATTGTGAAGCAGACACCTTAGATGGAGTCTGGTTCAGGCCACAAGAAGCGCAGCTGATCTAGATTAACAATGATGTTGTTGGGGGCTGAAGCATGGGCATACCTAGCCTTCCTCTGAAGACCTCAGCCCAGCCCTGGATGCTCCTGAGTTAGTCCAGGTGTCTGGACAAAGATCTGAATGCTGTAAGGGACCTTTCCAGTCTGCACACCCTTTTGGAGTCTCTCTTCTGGACAGACAGGTTTGTTTAAGGGCCTCATATTTATATCCATTTGGGATCTAAGAGCTCTAGATCCCAGATGTGCCCTGACCAGAAAGGATCAAAAATAACTTAGCTTGCCCATTTGGAAGTGCTCTGAGCCCAAGGAAACAGGTTCACTTCTAAACTATGAGTCTCAGCCTTGTGTCATGGAGAATTGTCAACTCATGTTACTCTTAGAGATCTTAGGTGTCACCCTTGAATAACATATAGTTCTTTGCATGCAGAGTCAAGGTAGTGAATTTTAGAGCACCATGGGGAGGGATTTGGACAGGTACAGCTAAATTCTTTCCCAGTCACCTTGGTGACTCTAAGCACACAGTCAAGCAAGTACTGAGGGAAGTCAGTTCCTGAAATCTGATTCAGTAAGAATGAGGTCATGGCCCTGGCTTCAAGAGTAAGCTACTCATAATTATCAACTCATAATCCATCAACTCCTGATGGCCTTCTCTTTATCCCTGGACCATTCACATGGCATCATGTTTCATTACCCATGTCATACCAGAAAGAAAAGTCCTCAAACAAAAGTATCTATGCCAATAGTGTACTTAACAGTATAAGGTTATTAGAAATTTAAATATATATGGATATTTATTCTGCCCCTCCATTTTTCAAAGGGCTCAAACTGATTTTTAAAATATCCCATGTGAATGACAGTATGAATGATAACAGCTTTTGAAATCATGTTTCCAGCTGTGTAAAGCATTCGGATACTTGACCCATCAATCCCTCCCCTGTTCTGGAGACCAGGCCTCTGGGATGGCGCCATGCAAAGCCTTGCAAAGAGTAATGGGTTCAGTTACCGCACACTCCAAGTGAAAAGGCGAATTTTTCTTTATGAAAATTGGATTTTAAAAGTTCCCCCACAAAATTTTGTCTTTCTGAAATGCCGTCTGTTTCACTCACTCAATACCTACTGATTTTTATAATTCTAATAAAAGGTTAGGAAGCTTGTTTGAAAAAGCACAATTGGGGGCCGGCTTCATGGCTTAGCAGTTAAGTGCGCGCACCCCACTACTGGCGGGCCGGGTTCGGGTCCCGGGTGCGCACCGACGCACCGCTTGTCAGGCCATGCTGAGGCCACGTCCCACATACAGGAACTAAGAAGGATGTGTAACTATGACATACAATTACTGGGGCTTTGGGGAGAAAAAGGGAAAAAAAGGGGGGGAGGATTGGCAATAGATGTTAGCTCAGGGCTGATCTTCCTCACAAAAAGAAAAAAAAGGCACAATTACTTAGAGATAAAACTTTCAACATCCTAGAAATTCTATTTCTCCTTCATTTCTGTTTCTCAGTATCTAAAACTGAAGTCCTTCTTCTCTACCCTGAAAAAATGAACATTTCATCAATCCCCTTCCACTTTAAGTACTATATTTTATTGTCATTCTACAAGTTCTAGAAAAATGCTGCCACTGATGGCTCTTGATGAACCTACCTTAATTGTTTCATATGTATCAGTAATCAGCGCAATGAAAAGACTTAAAATCATATATATAAAGAGGCTGATGAATGAGTAGAGGTAAATTCTGCTAAACAGCCAGACCAAGTAACTTTTTTGGTGCATTTCCGCAAACGTGGCAAACATATCGTCTCCATTTATCAGAGAGAAAAGGCACTCAGAGACCATGTTCAGAGAACGAAACTGGAAAAAGAAAAAAGTTTGCTTTATTTCATATTCCTTCTTATTAGAGACTTCATTCATGACACCATATTTAAAAATAAAGGGACCAGTATAAGCCAATAAGACCTCAATAAAATAATTTTTTAAATAAATAATAATGGGACCAGAAATCCCAAGTTACCCTTTCAAATAAATAACCTGAGGTAACTATAAGCATTTGCTTTGTGATACGCAGAACATGTATAAGCCTACTATTTTTCCTGGGACAAGAAGCTCCTCCTTGATGCTCCTCTTAATAGGAGCAGCCTGATTTGAAGGCAGAGGGGCTGGTCTGTACTCTCAGCACTCTTCTGAGTCAAGCCTTACACACCCCCCACCCCTTTACCTTCATAGAAAGAGATCCTCGAAATGCTTCTGAAGAGATACCCAGATCCCAACCATGCACGCTCATGCTTCTCTTTTTAAAGTTCATTTAAGATAATGGCATTACAGTCAAGACTATAATTCTGCTAACAAAATTTTCAAATATTTCTACAAGTTTCTCTCTATGCTACTTTTTAAAATAAGGTCACATCTTGAGAAGGCTTACCTAAATAGCCTACTTTAATATATATTGATGAATCAAACTGACTAAATTTAATGTTGCTGGTGATGAAAAGGACTTAATTTTCCAACATACTCCATAAAAGGAGTTGAGGCAGTTGAGTGAATCAATTATCCTCTCAGGTTGGTCACGCCTCACCAGTGTATGAACATGGCAAGAAATACACAATCAGCCCTCAGTTCCACATCCGCCTACAATGGTTGCATCTGTACTGACTTTGTTTCTTGTCATTATTCCCTGACATACAGTATAATAATACAGTATAACAACTATTTACATAGCATTTACATTGTACAGGTGTTACAAGTAATCTAGAGATGATTAAAAGTATACAAGAGGATGTGCGTAGGATATATGCAAATTTTATATGAGACTTGAGCATCCGTGGATTTTGGCATGGTAGGGGTGTGTCCTGAACCAATTCCCCACAGATACTGAGGGACGACTGTACTACCTTTAACATTTTAAGGCTGAATCACAAAAGAAAAGGAGCTCATTTTAAAAGGATAACAAGCCACTGACACTATTCTAAGAGCTTCAAAGTAACAGGAAAAAAGTTGGTTATCAGTACCTTCTCATGGTACGGCCCCAGCACAATCCATCCACAGAAGCAATAGCCTAAATAAATCATAGTGGCACAGCAGCAGAACCTCATGACATTGGGCAGAGCTGCCTGAAGGGTCAGAATAAGGAGCTGGAAAAGTAAGAGAGGTCATTAGAATTCCTCTGTCCTTCAGCCAAAGCAGTGCAACAACTTTGAGAGAGAGAAACACCAACAGCCTGGAAATCCATGGTATTCCTTACATTGTACTTCTGAAAGAAACCGAGGTATCGGATGACTCCAAGCCACACGAGCATGGTAGAAGTCCCAAGAAGTATGCTACAGACATCATAACTTGTTAGACTCTAAAACAGATTGGAAAAAAATTATCAGATTATACGGCAGAAATTCATTCGGGCAAAAAAATATTTATTGAGTAGTTGTGAGTCAGGAACTGAACTGTTCTGGGTGCTAAGGACAACGCAGTCAACAAACAGACAAAATTCCGTGCCCTCATGAAGCTTACATTCTAGTGGGGGGAGAGAGAAAATGGAAATAAATTAACAAAACTCTTGGTACATTAGCTATTGGTAAGTGCGGAGGAGAAAATTCAGGGGAGGGGATAAGGAATGGCCATGGGGTTGCATTTTAAATAGGGTGATAAGGGAAGGTCTCACTGAAAAGGTGGCATTTGAGCAAAGACCTGAAGGTATGAGGGAGCAAGCCAGACAAAAATCGAGGGGAAGAGCTTTCTAGGCACAGGGACAGCAAGTGCAAAGACCCCAAGCAGGAGGGTGCCTGGCAAGATAGTGAGTCTGAGTGATGGGGAGAGTATGGAGTCACAGAAGTAAGAAGGCAGGTAGAATAGGGCCTCGTGGGTAATTTAACAACTTTGCCTTTTACTCTGAATACGTCAGGGAGATCTGAGAGCTCTAAACAGGAGTGATAGGATCAAGTGTTGGCTGCTATGGTTGAGAGCAGATTGTTGGAGAAGTGAGAAGCCTATTGCAATAATATAGGTGAGAGCTGATGATGGCTTGGACCAAGCTGGTAATGGTGGAGGTGATGGGTGATTTTTGAAGGTAGATCAATAGGATTTCCTCTTGGATTAGATGCAGGGGAGAGGGGATTAGTGAAAGAGAGGAGTCAAGGATGAATCTATCACTTTTGTCTTGAGCAATTGAAAAGAGTTGCCATTAACTGAAGTTAGAAAGGCCATGGAGAAGCAAGTTTGGCCTGTGGAGGTGGAAATTTTAGAGATTTTGTTTTAGGTACGTTAAATTTGAGAGGCCAGGTAGACATCCAAGTGAAGATATGGAATAGCCAAGTTGGATGGCTGAGACTGGAGTTCAGGGAAGAATTCCAAGCTGAAGATATAGATTTGGAAATCATTGGCATACAGATACCATTTAAGGACACGAGACAAGATGAGATCACCAAGACAGTGACAGAAAAGAGAAGATGTCCAAGCACTACGCCTTGGGCACTGTCACTTTAATGGGTTGGTGAGATGAGAGGGAACCAGCAAAGGAAAGTCAGAAGACCAGCCTGTGATTTAGGAGGAAAATCAGGTAAGTGATAGCCCACTGCAAACAGGGTATCAACAGAGAGGGAGTGCTTGCAGTGTTAAAAGCTGCTGATAGGTCAAGGTGACAATAAATAATTGATTATTGGACGTATCAACATGGGAGGTCATTAGAAAGAACACTTTCTGTGGAGTGGCAGGGCAGCCAGACCGGAACAGACAGAAGAGAGAATGGAAGGAGCAGAATCAGAAATAAGAGTAACTACTTTTTTGAGGTCTTTTGCTATATAAAAGGGAGCAGAGAAATGGGAAAGTAACTGAAGGGAGAAATAGGTTATTTTGTCTTTTTAGAAAGAAGAAAACATTATGTTAATGGAAATGACATTCGAGAGAACGGGAAACGGATGATGCGTGAGAAAAGGAGAACAGCTGGAGCCATGTTCTTGAGTAAGCAAGTGGGGACGGCACTGGTAGGTACGTGGAGGAGGTGGCCTTAGATGGCAGCCTAAACAATACGTCCACAGGAACAGAGAACAAGCAGAGTGTATGGGCACTGATTCTTGTAGGTAGATAAATGAAGCAGGCATTCGTGGAATTTCTATTTTTTTCTATTGTTTTTATGAAATAGGAAAAAGGGTCATCAGCTGAGAGTGAGGGTGGGGCAGGGGTGTTAGAGGTTTCAGAAGAGATGAAAACAGATGAAATGATTGTCTGTAAGACAGGGGAGTGAATGGTCTAGAAAAAATGTAGACAGATTCTTGGACACCATTAAGAGCTCATTGAGGTTAATGATAGTTGAGGTTGATAAAAATAAAGATTTGCTGCAAATCTCCCCCTACTCTTCTTTTTGTTTTCCCTAAAGTTAAACCTCAATTCCAATGATATATACCACAGTTTCATCTGGTGGCAGCTGCTCGATGTCAACCCAAACCCATTCTCTCCTTCTGAGACATATGCCTGGGCTGTATTCCCCAGTGCCACTTGCAGTTAGATGTGACTAAATTCTCTCCAGTGCAATGTGAACAGAAATGAAGACCACTACTCCTGAGCAGAGGCCATAAGACAGTGGGAGAGCTACCGCCATACCATGTTTTCCCTTCCCACAGGCTGCAACCTATTTGTGGGTGACCCAGCATCAATCATGCAGTCCACGTGAGCCTGGCAGAGCAACAAGATGGGAGGAACGTGAGTCCCTGAATGACTGCATGGAGCTGAGCAACTTGCCAGCCTGGGAAACCCACTCTGGCTGTTACATGAGGGAGAAATAAGCTCCTATCTTATCTGAGCCACTGGATTTGGGGGTCTCTGCCCAGGAATCTGAATCATAACAGGCTCCCTAGGTGGCTCATACTCATAGTTAGTTGCAGTCAAGGCTAGAAAAATATAAATTTGAACAAGATTAGTTTGAACAATATTAGTTCTTTAATTTGATTTTTGCTTTGGTGGGAGGGTTGATTTCTAGACTGGGTTAGTCTTAACTTAAAATGGAAAACCTTGTAGCACATCAATGGGAAAAGTAAGAAAAAGGGAACATTCTCAGCTGAAATGGACAGAGGAAACAGCAGCAAGCAAGCCCACAACACTGGCTTGGCCTCACTTTCTCCCCCAGCCCTACTCTTTTTTTGTTGTTGAAGTTTCTGGCATTTCTTGCAAGAACAACAAAAACACCTCTTACCTTAGTTACTTGATGTGTGTATGAATTCACAGGCCCCACCCCCAGAGTTCAGACTCAGTAGTTATCTAACTTGTGGCCTTTTTACCAGGTATCCAAATGATTCTGATGCAGAGGCTTGTGGATCACACTTTGAAGAACTCTGCCTAAGAGATTTCTTGACTAGATTTAAGAAAATTACTGCATTGATTTTAAGTTTACTTGGTACAATGTTTGAAAGAAATCATTTACTCTGCAAATTCTCACATTCTGGAAAAATAAATTACCGCTAATGCAAATCTGATACTAATGATGACATAAATAGGGAAAAATTTACCTTAGCTTGTATTTCCATTTTCAGAATTGATCCAGTGATTGTCAATGTGTCACTAATAATAATCATAATGTACCATCCATTGATGAATTCCATTTGATCTGAAACAGAAACTTCCTTCTTATAATGGAGGAGGAAAAAATTGACAAATTCCTTTAGGGAGAAGAGGAAAGGCACAGTGAATTTCTCTATCAATCAACACATTCACAGCATTCCTAGAAAGCAACAACTCCTACCTGCTGAAGCTGAAATCCTTGAATCACAGATCGAATGCACAGGATCATCGAAACCAAGCATATCAGAATAACAAAGGCATCAAAGATCATCATGAAATGAGTGTTCTTCTGAACTGGAAGGAAAGGGGATTACCCATTTATGTAGTGGGACATTGATATGGTGATGTCCACTTCTTTTTTGTTTTCATTTTTAGCGTCATTTATTTTAACTGCTCCATTGTATAACACAGTATAGATGCACAATACTTTATAAGGACATTCAGATTGTAATCTATTTTTCCCCTACTGCAAACAATTCTCCAACTCCTCCTTGTGCACAGGTGCAAGTGATTCTTTAGGTGAATGGATATCTAAAGATGGAATTGTTGGGTTAAGGCATATGCATATTTCTAAAAAGAGATCCTAAGAAATTACTCTCCAAAAAGATCATGCCAGTTTACATCCCTACACATATCTCCACATCTTCTCCATCATTTTTGCCAATCAAAAGAGCAAATCCATCATTCCCAATGATTTGAAATGCCATCTTTATCATGTACCAAATTACTATATGTATTCAAGTACCATATCTTACCCTTTTGATGTTTTTGTGTGTTTTAATGCCTAAGATAAATACCTTTCATTACTCTTTTCTGGAATTTTTGCTGAGTATTGTTGCTTGTTTATTTTTCCATATATTCTTTAGGATCAGATTTTCAAGTTCCAATAAAAATCCTACTGGTAATTTTTTTTGGGGGGGATCATGTTAAATCTATAGATTAATTTAGAGAGAATTGACATACTCATGATGTTGAATCTCTTGTCCAAAAACATGGTATGTCTTTCCATTGATTCAAGTCTTCTTGCATCCTTCAGAAGCATTTTCAAATTTTATATGGATCCTTCACCCACCTTTCTAGAATAATTTAGATAATTCAAGCATTCTTTCCACAGAGAATACAAAGAGAAAAAGCGCGATAAGTGTTCTTCCCGTTAGTATTTAAAGAAGGTTAAAAGTCCTTCTTTAAAACTCACCACAACCATCAATCAAAGATCTTTAATTACAGCTTATGGTCTTTTGTTCTTAATACAGTTAGCCTCCCTGCATATCCTATTAAAATATACTTATCTAGGTATAAAATATTTATTAAGCGTCCACAATGTGCCAGGAGTTTTTCTAGATGCTGAGGATACAGTGGTGAACAAGATAGACAGGGCCCCTGAGCTTATGGGCCTTCTATTCTACCACAGTGAGACAAGCAAAGAAGTAAACAAGCAAATGAACAAAATACTTGCAGATAGGAGTAAGTGAGGTCTGGTAGGTCCGGCCCTACCCAAGACCCACTGAATCAGACACTGCATTTTCCTAAGCTCTCCAGGAACACTAACGTTTGAAAACCACTGCTCTACTTGAGGGAGTTTAGTGTGGGGGCATGGTGAGAAGAGAGGTTCGTCTATATTGCATTGTAAAGGAAGGCCTCACCAAGGGGCAGTAGGTTTTAGAGGAGACCTGAGTGATGAGACAGAGCCATCCCTGCAGACAGTCTCGAGAATCGCAAGTGCAAAGTCTTGGCCAGCAGGAGTGCAGCCAGGTGAAGGGACGTGACAGAGGGCTCTGCCATCATACGCTCTGCTACAGAGTGTGTCTTTATTTAACAAGTTAGATTGCTCTATACTAATAAAGCATTAAGACTAAATCTGTGATGAAGTATCCCATTAATATTGGCCCAGGGGCATCTAATTGTTACACAAATGTCTAAATTTTAGGAAAACTTACAAACCTAGAAACAAACATTTGAGAGAAAGCTTATGCATCAAGCACTTTCATATGCTCTCCTTTTCCCTATTCTAAAGTTTGTGGAGAAGTACTACGATGTTTACAGGTGACAAAACAGGCTTGTGTTTCAAGTTAACAATTTTGTAATTGAAATAAAATTTGTGATTCAAGAGCCTCATATATTTGAAGTTACCTATTGTGAAAAGAATACTAGAATAATGAAATTTCATTTTATTTACTCTTACTATCTCATTACTACTTCTGAACTTTGTGAGTCAATTGGAAGGAAACCCTAAAGCAAGTATTATCCAAGTGTGCTGTGAGTAAGGTCCACCAGCACATTCCCAGGCCCTCCCCCAGACCTACTGACTGTCTCAGGTGAAACTGGGAAAACCATCTTAACAAGTACCTGGGCTGACTCTTCTGCCCACTAGAATCCAAGACCCTTGACCTACTCATTAAGTCAAGCACAACATACCATTATGTTACCTATAAGGGACAAGAAAATGAGATAGGTAAGTTCTTTCCAGCCAATTTTCTCCAGTTCGGCTCCAAGAATTCTCGATGGTACTCAGTCTATACCTGACTTCATGTCCATATTTCTAGGAATGTACTCTTTCCTTAGTTAGTCTACTTTTTGATCTGGATAGAAGACAGCTATAATGTGTGGGATGATTCAGGGTCAAATCCTACTTGACTTTTCCTTGGCTGTATGACCATGGACACTAATATTCTTTTCTGAGTCTTAGTTTCTTCATCTGTAAAAATAGGGATGCTGCCTATCTCAAGGATATTTTAAAATACTAAAATGAGGAAAATGTAGGTGGAAGTGCTTATGCAGTAAGCACTCAATAAATACTGGTTTGGGTATACATGAATTTTTTGCTGGGGGGATTTTTTTGCTGGGGGGCATTTTCTTGGTAAGGAGTGGGCCAGTGAGGACGCATGGAGAAGGCAAGAAAAATCATTGCAATGACTAATAAGTTGTGTATTGCCTGGAACATCAGGTATCTACAATGAATTGATCTACCTGCAGAGAATTAGGGACTTGGGAATGGTCCGATGTTTTCATTTGATGCTCCACTTATCCTTGAGACTCGTAATTTAATAAACATTTTTAAAACTAGTAAAATGCACCACTTACTTGATCCAGATACATGCCAGTTTTTACATTCTGTCATGGAAATGTCATTATCTAAATGTATCTTAATTCTTCCACTATGAGCCTTGTTGTCAAACGTTATCTGTGAAGAACAGGAATAGGGTCAAAAACATACCTGTAGTTTTTGAAGCCAAGATACCTCTATGCATTAATTAGGAAACAATTCTTTCAATGTAATAGCAGACCCAGATTCTCATCCCCAACCTATTGCTAACTCTGTTCAACCTTGGAAAGTTCCCTTTATTTCTCTGTGAAATGAGGTTGAACTTCCCAGTCTCTAAAATCCTGTGTTTCTAGGACAGTCATCCAGCCCTGCACAACTTCTAAAACAAGAGAACTTCCCCTTCCTTCCCATTCTAAGTGCCTCTAGATGCCCTCTTGATATGAGCAAGAGCCGATACAACTGTGCTTTTCCCAACCTTCCAGCAGGGCCTCATCTAGGGACAGATTTTTAGTGCTACTGCAATTCTCATTAACACAGAGGTTCATTACTTCAGTCTTGACACATTTCAGGTGGAGCTTCTTTGATTTTCATTCTGGGCCTAGATCTCTTAGTCACTCTAGAACCATAGGTATTACAAAGGATCTGGTCACAGGGAATCGAAAACTATGTCTTGCTTTAAGGATAACGATTTAAGGACACCAGGCACCCAACAGGACAAAGCCATGCCAGAACACCTTCCATAGTCCTTCTACTGTTTTCCCCTTCTAGCTCCCTCCACTTTCCCCGCACAGGGAACAGAAAGGCAAGGCAAGAAAATCAATCTGTTTTTGTTTTTTGTCCTTTGGTTTTTTTAGTGCCTCCTCTCTCAAGTCCTAAAGAAAAAAAGGTTCTTTTAAAAGTCTGCCATTTAAATGAGTTTTATTGAAGCTTCTTCATGTGGGGTGATCTGTTATCACTTCACATATAAGATTTCAAATAAATGTAATGAGTCTAGTCACTCTGTTTCTCCTCATAGTGGATTGTGAGCTTCTTTCCTTGACAAGCAACCAGGGCATTGTCAGTATCTGCCCATCTCCATTCTGCTGGAGGACCCAGCCCACAGCCTCACACAAGGAAGATGCTCAGTATTATTTGAATGAGTCAGAAATCCTTGCCAAGGAAAAACCATGCTTTTCCCACACAAAGAGCATCAGGGTCTTACAAATAGTAGGTGCTCACTAAATATCTGTTAAGTAAATATACTTTGGCTTAGTGTCAATCACATCTCAGTAAGGCTCAGAAGAAGCTGAATTCTTTAAACAAGGAATAAAAAATACTGGATGGGATTAATAACAGATTAGATAATACAGAAAAAAAGATTAGTGAATTTGAAGACATAGCAATAGAAACTATCCAAAATGAAACACAGAGAAAAAAGACTGAAAAATAAAAGAAAAGAGAGCATTCATGAGCTGTGGGACAACCTGAAGTGCCTAAATACACACGTAATTGGAATCTCTGAAAAGTAGGGGGAAGAGACAGAAAAAATATTTAAATAAATAATACTGAGTAAATGTCAAATATAATGAAAACTATAAACCCACAGAACCAAGATGATCAATGAACCCCAAACACAAGAAAGATGAAGAAAACTACACCAAGGTATATTGCAATCAAATTGTTAAAATTAGAGATAAAGAGAAAAATTCAAAAGCTGCCAGAGGGGAGAAAACATATCCCATACAGAGGAACAAAGGTGAAGATGACAGCAAATTTTTCATCAGAAACAATGCAAGCTGGAAGAACAACATCTTTAAAGTATGAGAGGGAAAAAATCCTAGAATTCTTTAACCAGTGAAACTATCTTTAAAAAATGAAGGTAGGGGCCGGCCCTGTGGCTTGGTGGTTAAGTGCGCGCACTGCGATGCTGGTGGCCGGGGTTCGGATCCCGGGTGTGCATCGAGGCACCACTTCTCCGTCCATCCTGAGGCCGAGTCCCACATACAGCAACTAGAAGGATGTGCAGCTATGACA